GACGCACCAAAATAAAAGAAAAGAAACTCATTCTGAACGCATTCGAAGACGAAGGGAAGGAACAGGAATTCACGTGCGAGATACCTTGCTCTGATAATTTGCAGTTTCCTATAAGATGCTCGAGTGTGTCTGCGGAGCATGTTTGCTGGCAGTATATTCCGCCTTCAGCGAGACCACTGTTGCATTTCACGTAAGCGCATTCAAATATTGTTTAACGAGGAATAATGATGTCGCAGTTAGGCTCAGCGAAGATAAAAAAACCCAAGAAAATCTTGAGCACAATACATGAGCAATAGTTTCCAGCTGCAAGAAGGCGCGGTGTCTTGTCTAGATCATAATGCATCGGTTCTTTAAGAGCTCATTCGCACTGCAAAAAAAATATTATTTCGGACGATCTTCACCTGCAAAACAAAAACAAAAAACTAGGACTATTCCAATTATTTCATGCATACGTTCTGCACAGTCTGAAAGGAAGTTTGAAAGCGACACGAGAGGAGGGCTGTGTTTGCCGCACCTTATGTTTAGTAACATTTCTTCCATAGAGCGCAAAAAGTCGCAGGGGTCCGCAGTGGGCAGAGCAAAGTACTATGAGAGGTTGTCAATTGTTCTTTCAACTATTGTGCCAGAATGGCTAACCGAATTCCTCTTGTGTTCACATATATATACATCGGTCAGACAGATTGATGTATGAGCGCGCTCCTCAGAAAGCACCAAAATTCATTGAATGAAGCCTTCTCATATCGCACCTCACATTTTCAGCCATGCAATTCACTTTTGAGGGCTGGTAATCTTGCACAGTTCCCCCAACCAGACCACACGAGAAATCTCGGAGACATATCATAAAGAACACCGCACCTTGTTTAGGTCAATTAACCTTGGCTATCACTACAACACAAAAATTAACTTCATTAATCAACTATAAACACGTGCCTAGAGGTTGTTAGTCTTTTTGTATCTCTTTGTGACGTGCATGATGCACCCCCATTTTTTTTCTATGTCTGTTAACACATACGATAACCTTTCAGTCGCGAGTGAGTGTTTCCGGTGTGCATATATCTTTGCTGGTCCTATTTCTTTCTTTTTTTTTGGCCCGTAGGCTTTATTTTAATCTGCAGTTACGGTGCCAAGAAAAGTTGGTAGACGCATATGCTGATAGCGGCGCGCAATGGTCCAGTCAATGCCTTTTATTTTATGAAATTGCGCTTATTTATAAAGCAATCTTAGAATATACCAGAACTGTTCAAATAACTCATAATTGGCTTCAAAGGACATTGATTCCTATTAAACCTGTGAATGTATGAACAATGCTTGCACCATTTAGGCAACCAAGTTGAACTGTTTTTTTTTATTTATTTATGCCAAAAGCGGGCTGATGCTAAAGGATATTAATAATGAACTGACGCTTCTGACCCGCTCAGATCGTTGAACAGGGGGATAAGAGCAAATCGTTTATAGGTCATCGCACCCAAACACTGAAGTTTGTGAGTGAACCGTGCAGTAATACATCACACTTTACGGAGTTCACTTAATCTGAGAAGCGCTGACACGGTGCAAATGGAAAGTTGAAGCGTGAGGCCCGCATGCTCGTCGCGGCAGCTGCTGCAGCGTACCAGCTTTTTCGATAAACGCTAGCGTGCCCGTTGCTGGCGCTAGTGTGCTTGAAAAAGGTCTATTTTCTTATCAAGTGGACAGGGTTTGTCTTGATTGGCAGAACACTGGGTGATTGTGCTCCTAGTGAACGTTCCAGGAATCGTAAGTGAAATTATTTCTTGAGGTACAGTCTCTATGAGACACCAGCCGCACATATTGCATGCCCCAGCGGCACTGTCAACCACCGACTGCGAGTACCTTGGGTCTGGCAACCAGCGCGATGGAGATGCTCAGCCGTCGCTTCATGCCGCCAGACAGCTGCGAGGGAAACGAGCATGCCTTGTCGGTGAGTTTCACCGCCTCCAGAGTTTTGTCGATGCTCTTGTTCAGCTCCTCACTGTCCACATTCCGCAACTGTGAGGCGCGCGTATTAAGCATAATTAAGTGGTCACAGCTATGCTTGTCACTTCCAATGCAAATTGGGGAACTAGGTGGTTAATAAAAAATACATTATTTTCACATCATTCAAGTGCCTAATACACAGGGTGTTTGAACAATGTGCCCTAAAAACCTCAATAGGAAATGCAATATTTCTCGCTGCCTTCGAGGTTACTCTATTGTAGTGGCAATATATTATATACTTGATCTTTTGTAAGGCACTACGTTCAAATTGAAACTTTCGCTTTAGCACCTGCAGAACAACGTTAAAGACTGCATAGAAAAATGTTTGACAATTTTTAATAAAGTCAGCAGAATATATTCTAACAGGAAAGTCACATGTATATGTACCGCGCACTGCGGTTAGGGCATGGCATAAAGTGTGGTACATGTGCACCTTGGTACTCAGCTAGGACCAAATGGAAAAAAAACCAAATTGAAAATACTTCCTATGCGCATCTGTGGTGGTGCAACGGCTAGCGTACTGGGGTTAACACCATCAACCAAAATCAAGCCAAAATTGGTTTGTTGAAAAGGTGAATGATGAGGGCAGCAAAAATTTACGTGTGTTGCAAGTGAATCACTGGATTCTGCTTAATAAAAAAATGAAATGGGACGCTTCACAGGCGTGTTGCAGCGATGTTTTCAAGGCACTCGTTTAGGCCACTGCAGTGGATAGCGAGCGGTAATGTAGCAGTAAGCAAGAGTACGTACAAAATCCAATTCGCTATTTACGCCACATGCGGTAACGTAGTCAGAACTTAAAACATTTTCAGTACCTCGGTATGCGGTTCCACCAGTAAAAGCGGCACCAGTATTGACTGCGGTTATATATGTGTGTTCGAGATACAGTGAAAAAGTGGTACACATTTATACCACTGCCCTAAAAAGAGTTGACCTCTGCGAAATTTTTAGACATGGCTATAGACATCAATATGGCCCTATATACATAGAATGTATCGTTTGACTGAAGGCATTTGTAAAAAAAACGTCACAGCACCTTTACAAAGTGAATGATGACGGAAACTAAATCTTAAGGTTCATAATGTATACGTTGAACTCGCCGACTATAATCATGACGGACAGACGTAAGCACGGACGGACAGACTGATGCACGGTCAGATTACTGTCTATATTTAAGTAATATGCGTTCTATTTGCACTCTGTAGACGGTATTGTGCGCAGATATTTCGCCCCTGCACTTCGACTAGGGACGACGGCAAGCCTCACGACAACGGTCATTGTGTGACTCCAGCCATCCCACGCGCTCCCCGCCCAGCCACAACGCACGTGCTGGGACACTTGCCGCACCTAAGCGGGGGGCAAAGTGAACGAATAGGCGACGCTCTTTAACCCTTCGCTTGGGTGTGGCAAGGGTCCCGGCACCTGCATTGCGGCTGGGCGGGAAGTGCGTGGAATGGCCCTGACCCCAGAAGTCAGAAACACTCGTTTACTTGAAGTTGGCTTGCCACCGCCTCAAAGCAGTGCATTCGCAATGCCTTTGTGGCAAGTCAAGTTCAAGTATAGAAGCGGTTATGGATACGTGGTTGGGTGCTTTGCCCCTAAAATGTTCTTTCATTAATAACTCAAATGCGCATTCGCAACCTTCTTGCACCACGCTTCATAGTGTTCCTTACGAACTCGACGTTACATGATGCCCTGAAATCGGGAAGAAATTGGCGTACATAGCAGTTGGTCGAACTTTTTTAGGGTAAGCTATGATCGTCGCAAAAGGAAAACATGACGTGGCTGATCCCTCTATTTAGGAATTGGTATAACACGGAACAGCCCCGCCGCGGTGGTCTAGTGGCTAAGGTACTCGGCTGCTGACCCACAGGTCGCGGGATCGAATCCCAGATGCGGCGGCTGCATTTTTGATGGACGCGAAAATGCTGTAGACCCGTGTGCTCAGATTTTGGGTGTACGTTAAAGAACCCCAGGTGGTCGAAATTTCCGGAGCCCTCCCCTATGACGTCTCTCATAATCATATGGTGGTTTCGGGAAAATGTGTTATAATCTATAAGTATTCTATAAGTACAAGTATAGTACTCCTACAATACTTGGGAGGAATCAAGAGAAGCACCATGACGAACGAGTCAACTTTAAGTAGCCTAAATAAGCCTTCACAAAAAAATCTACTCAAGTACTCTAAATCATTGCATTAATAAGAACCAACAAACAATAGTGCTAAAGAAAGTATCTGGAACATTAATAATAGTAATTGTAATGTAAATGTGATTAAAGAGAATCGAACGAAAAGATAACTTGCCACGGGCAGGGACCTAAACTGCGACCTTCGAAGAACACGTCCGATCCTCTACCAACTGAACTACAGTGGTGCCCCCCCCCCCCCCCATCGTCCACTTTACGAAGTTTCCACTTCTTTCCTTAAACCATCGCACGAAATAGACGTTTCCAAATAACGTGTCACATTTTAGAAGCTTTAAGAAGTGTTGTTTCAATGAACAATCTAGATTTGTTAATAGAAGTATAAATAGAAACACTATATTTACTTTAGGGACTTCTGAGGAAGTGCCATCCTCAGAAGTCTCTGAAGCCCACTGTCCTTTTTTTATCATTAGAATGGCGTCTAAACAATGCACAACCTGCCCTAGTTTACACGCACTAATAAGTTGTAGCAGTAAAAAAGTAACAGCAGGAATTGATCAGCATCAGCCAGCTAGGCGATTGAGTTGACCTGCCACATACATCGCCCATCACCCTAGCCAAAAATTGTAATTCGCATTGTGTTCGAGTGAGAACATATCGTTTATCTTCCATGACAGCCTTAGACAGTACTACAGCTTCTCAAACGGCATAAAAATGTGCTTATAAACGCTATGTTTAAGTGCCCAATATGAGTGGCACAAATGTTCCTGGCACAAGCGAGAAAACACATTGCTTAAGACTTATACTCCTCATTTGTTACATCATGCACGCATTTCCTTAATGAGCTGAAGGAGATTACTCACCTGACCGAAATACACGAGATGCTCCCTGACAGTGAGGTCAGGAAAGAGCACGTCGAACTGTTGGCAGAAACCAGTAGAATTGTGGGCGTCACCGACACCACCGGGAAATTCGATGACACCCGACGTAGGTTTGAGCAGGCCTGCAGGTTGTAAACCGAGACGAGTTTTTGCGAATCGCGATTGTTTTGGTCAAATTAGAGGATGCATAAGATGCGTAAGTAGCGCGCGCATGGTCGATGCATGCTATGTTCATTAAACGGCTGCCACGAGCGTTAACATCAGCATGACCGGGCTTCACAACAGTTCAAGCCTTTGTATAAGGCCACATGAAATTCGTGAAAGTGCGCAGGCGCTATAGTGCATATCGCCCGCATCCAAACTCGGAAGTCTTAGTCGAGAGTCGAACTAACGTCCTCTTAGCAGCAGCCTAGCCGCTAAAATAGCACAGCAGGTAATCCATGTTCAAAAATAATTTCTTGTTAATCGAATATTTGTTGCTATTTCTACCCCTATAAAAATGGCAACGTCCTGTATGTGTACTGTATGGTTCCTTGAGGCAACATGAGGACGCAACCTGTATGTTTCCCAACTGTGACGATTTGGCTGCCGCTTTTATGTTGCCTCAAGGCGCCATCCTGTACGTTTCCCATCTGTGACCGTCCTGCACGTCTTCCAGCTGTCACGATTAGGCCGCTGCTTTTATGTCGCATCTAAGACTCCGTCCTGGATGTGTCCTGTAAGTAGCCACTTTTTAAGCAGACCAGAAATTAGGCCCGTTGCACTGCCTGCATGGTGCCGCATAATACGGCTGCTGTAAATGAAATGTACATGGACATGAACACCGAATTGTAAAATTATTGATTTATTATCGTTTACACTTCAGCTTGGAGCATTTTACAGACAGTATTCAAACAGGTAATGTACATTTGTAGGCGGCTGAAGAAAGATAAGATCAACGGATCAGCCTTAACCCCATGAAGCTTCAGCACATCATTACCATTTAAAAGGTTTTAATTTTTCAGCATCTTTCTAGGTAATAGATACTACATTAATTTCTCAAAAACACACTCTCCACAACAGTAACTTCTCATCTCAATGCAAATTTCAAGGCATTCAAAACACTATGGGCTACTTCCATAGGCTCTGCACACCTAATTAGCCATTTCATGTACGATATGCAAAATGTATCACAGTGACTTGTTAGGCTTTACAGGCTAATAACAAATGTATGCAGCCTTACAGACTATAGAAGAAGGAACAATCATAACTTCAACTAACTCACAATGCATGCAACAGTCATTAATTATTGCAAAAGATCAGGAATGTAATAAGCAACATCAGCACACACTACCAGAGTGGCTGTAGAATGCGTGAATGCGTGCATGCTAAAATAATTACATACTGCAGTAAATTAGGAATCGTGACAAACACAACATCAGAGCACTAGCAGAGATGCTTAGTTGGCACAGACCGCTCTACTTAACCTGCATCCTTGGAAGCAAGACTATAGCCCACAACCAGTATACTGTTCACGTAACCCTCGACTGCAGAACTGAATGAAGGCCGCAGAATTAACCCTGGCTGTGGCCACAATTTTGATCAAAGAAGAAATGGTTGAGACCTGTCTGCTTAGACATGGGTGTATCTTAAAGAACCCCAGGTGGTCCAAATTTCTGAAGCCCTTCACTATGGCGTCCCTGATAATTAAAGACCGGAACTTTAGACAAAATGCCTATTTTTTCTGGAATTCATTTCGAGTCTCTTTCACATATAAACACGAACTAAGCGATGGGTAACATTTTAATCACATATATATTGTGCCTATAAGTGCCTGATTCGAGCTTCGTGCCTATATAAGCTTTTCAGTGCCTAAAAATTTTTTTTCATGTTTGTTGCGTAAACGTTTTGCTCAAATTAGCTCTTCATACGAAGGAAAACAAGAAGCACTTGATGTGCTATAATAACGACAACACATGCATAGAGCGCTAGTTTTTATTTTTCGTTGATGTTTTTAACCACTGGTAAAGTGCGATTATGGTTCAACGCAGGGTCGACGCGCGCATACACTGTGTTATATTAGCGAAAACAGATCATAGGTCGACGCACTGCCACAGCCAACATGTATCTAGACTCGGCGAATGTGCTAGGACGCATGTGACGTTTGCCAACACTCAGATAACAACACACTTTAAATGCGCATTTACGAGAGCAGGGCTTGTACCCCAGTGAGGAAGAGCAAGGCAAGCACCTATAGTGCTAGCAGGCCCCCCTAAAAGACTTTCCGTCGCTTCGTTTGAGAGTAGTGCTGCACTGCTGCTTGAGCATGGCTATAGTATACTGTAGCGAAGCGAGGAGAGGCTAACGCTAGTGTACCCACTGTTCCTTAAAAATCCCAGTCGCTAGGTGCCAGAGTAGTGCAGCTCGGCGGTTGCGTTTGGGAGGCTAGAGTACAGTGTACTTAGAACGTACACTAATCAGCCGAAACTAAGCTAGCCTAGCGCTGCTGACTGCGGCCCACACATAGGTTTTGTTGGCTTTCATGTTTTTAATAACGGCAGCTGTAGGGAGTCTGCCGAGCAATGCGAAATAAAGAGAAGCCGTAAAATGAGCTTCTCAAGCAAAGGACCACTGGATCAAAGCGCTACTTCGTCGATCGAGAAACGGTCTACATGAGAAGCCGGGGAGAAGAAATGGGGAAGGTCAACAATATTTTTAAGCTTGATGTCCACTCTGATGCACCCATAGGCATAAAACTTCCAAAATTGGTTATGCAACTGTCAATTTATTGAAACAACCGTTGAATCTGCGCGAATAACGTGTATTTTGTGGTCATTCCACGGGCACAAAGATGCATGTTTTTTTTATATCGACATCTGGGAACTCACATGCACATATTACATAAAATGCAGCCATATGTGAAAGCTTCACTGATACAAGCCACTTTCAACTTTATCAATTACACTGCATGGTAATCCACAATTTAAACTTGTTGAGTAACATCATGCAATAAAGGTATGCACTAAGTGGTGGAAGTATGCACTAGGGACAGGGTCGCTATCGGGTTTTAACGCTTAAAGGGAAAGCTTAAGAATATCCCTCCCCCCTTTATTTTGTTTTTTCGGATGTGCAGGAAAGGTTCGCCTCGTCTCCGATAGACCCGCCGCTGACAGGGTTGTCCTCAATGCTTGAATCAGCCTTAGAAAGAATCGCAGATTGTATGTGCTAAAGCAAGTGTCTAAAGTTTCGAGGGGGGCTGATTCAAATATTCTGGATGCGATTAAAGCATTGAAAGTGCTAGGCCACAAGTACGCTTCACTAACTTCAGTGGACGTCGAGCATTCTTTTTCACATAAAAGCAAAATACTGAATGAAAGCAAGCACAATTCAAGGCAGAAAACCTTGAGAGGATGGTGGTTTGTCACTGTTTTCGCAGCCTTTCTCACAATGTTGAATTACCTCAGCTTTCACTCAAATCTGTTCAAATGATTGTGCTTCCTGCTATTGCTTTTCATGAAAAATATAAATTTAGTTTTTCTAAAGCCCTGAATTCACCTGCTGTGTTTGTTAGAAGTAGAATATTTGTCCTCAGCACTGCTACTGAATCAGTGCCTATATATGCTTAAATGATACTTTTAATACCTATTTATGCCTAAATGGCACTCTTTAGAGCCTATTATAGACACCTAAAGCAGTTTTTTTTTTCGTGCCTCTATAGTTCCGGTCTTTACTGATAATCATATAGTGGTTTTAACACGAACTCAGTAAGTATCGTTCTAATTACACTTCCCAAAAAGTAAAGCAAGCAGATATTACTATGTAGTTAGAAAGTTAGAAAAATTCAGCATCCCCCCCCCCTCAATCCATGGACTCAAGTTACCATATTCCAGAATGACTTCAATCAGTTATTAACAAAGTTCACTTAACATTAACAAGGCATCACTTAAAACATGACTTGCAAGTCTGCAGTGCCGCTCACTCAGTAAATCTTGAAAAAAAACTAAACATGCATTAAAGAGCTCAGTAAGTAGCACTGACACATTCACAAATCTGCTTTGTAGATGAACTGAAATTCAGCTCCAAGAAGGAAAAAAACATTTTCCAAATAAGTTGTGTCCACGGGGACAAAAAGAAAAAAATAATGCTGTCAGTTGCCCCATAAACTAAGAATATTGAAATTTTAATAACTGAAAAAAGCAGCTATGTCTGCATTGGAAAGTTGGAGGCGGGCGTGTTTCTACACAGTCCCACTTGGAAAAATTCTTTGAGCGTGTTTGATATCCCATTCTAATGTTTAATTTTGCTTTTCATGATTACACATGCAAGGCAGTGAGGATCAGCAATATATTACTCCCTGGTGGGACAAGCACCCAGTTCTTGCTTTTGCCAGCCAGAAGTGAAAGGGCAGCCATTATTATATTGTCCACCCATGCCTTTGACTCATGGTCAGATTAAATGCATCAATCACATCAGGGAGTCTGTTCCAGTTCTCACTGTCCTGCATACATAATGATGCAAGCCGCAACAAAACTTTCCAGTGGGATATCTGAGCACAAGCATGTTAGAATTCTTACAAGTAAAGTTATGTAGAAATATGACTCGCTGAAATATTCAACACATAAGTAACCGCCTACAGCGGTCACCAATAAGTTCATTATTCAATATTACTCAGCGGCACCGCTGACAATGATAATTATTATCTCACGTTGCGTCTCCCTGGATACATTGCTGTCTGCAAAGATGGCTTTTACACACATGACACACAGTGCTGACTTCGTTTTTAAGGAAAAACAAAAGGGTGAATTTTGATCACCCTTAACATGCGTGCTCCTTGAATACAGCTACGAGGTGGTTCTGTCAAGTTTCCTTTTCACAGAAAACAGAAACCAAGTACAGCTGCTGTGCACCAGCAGCCAAGTTTTCCACGAACCACCATTGATGACAGGCTAGTCCGAACGTCTTCCACACTCTTCGTACGACGAGCATGCATAGGCTGCGATGAAAAAAAAACAATTTAGTAAAATGTGTCGGTTAGTACAGCTTTATTTGGCAGTTTCTTTTAGAATGATCAGGTACAATGTGTCTTAATAAAGCAGGATGTACAAAACCAGACATGTTACAAGGAAAACTTCATCAATGTTTTTGGTGAACACAGCCGCAACTTTAAAAAAGAATATGCAATTTCCACATTACCGGTATGTCACAAATATGCTTGAATAGCACTCTTGCATTGTGCGTATACATGCCAATTTAGTGATATGACAGCACATACATGACGGTATGCACCTTCATCAAGTACCCATTGTAGGTAACATATAAAATTAAATTCTGTATTTTATTTTGAACACAGCTAACGTAGCTTTTTTCCGGCGGCTTACATTGTGACGATTATGCCTATATATCAGATATTGGTTTCACTAAATTACTATTGTTTGCTGTTAAATAGTGGCCATTATTTTCAATAATTCTGATTGGCTAAATAGGCAGTACCCCTCACATACCTGTTATCACAGGCTGTGTTATAAATGTATGAAAAAAAAAAGTGGGAATGCTAAGGCATACAAGGCATCCATATTGAACTACACACCATTCCAACAAAGCCAGCAAGCTTCTGCAACAATCCTCAGTAACCAGAATCCTGGAAGCTATCTATTAACTGGGATTTAGCAATACACTATAAACATATATGAGACTGATTTCCAACGTATATTTACTTCAATGCAAACAACTTAGGAACATTCGGTCTATATTCATGATTCTCAGATAAATACGATGTCCAATTTATATTGTCGCAGTGCAACGCGAACAAAAGATGACAGCAGCTTACGGCAGCGAAAAGAGCGTATTCAGGATCAGCTGTACAGCAAGATGCCTGCTTCGTTGTCGTCCCCGAGAGAGCACCTGACCCACTAGCTGGAATCTACGAAACATTCCTGTCATCGTTCTTTTTCATATAAACACGTGTCACTTGCCCCTCCTTATAAGAGCATCGCCCCGATGCTGATGCAGACGCACAGTATTTTTTTTAACGTGCAGTCAGTCACTCACGTACGGCTTCATACGCACTACATGAACAAGTTCAGGCTGGTGCTGGCGACGCCTAGGACATTGGGGACTGTCGGAGACAACCTCGTAGGTGACGTCACTTAGCTGGCGCGATACTCGGTATGGCCCGAAATATCGCCTTAGCAGCTTCTCGGAAAGTCCACGTTTTCGTACGGGTGTCCAAACCCACACTCTGTCACCGATTTTGTACGTTACAGTTTTACGGCGAGCATTGTAGCGGCCTGCATCGTAGTCTTGTCGCTGGTGGATCCGTAAGCGGGCGAGCTGTCTAGCTTCTTCCGCGCGTTCAGTGAACACGTCAGCGCCTGTGTCGGTAGCGTCCCAGTCATGTGGCAACATCGCATCCAGCATAGTCCGTACCTCCCGTCCGTGAACCAAGCTGAATGGAGTCATGCGAGTCGTCTCTTGTTTAGCCGTATTGTAGGCGAACGTGATATAGGGTAAATATCGTCCCAATTCTTATGTTGGACGTCCACGTACATCGACAGCATGTCTTCAATCGTCTTGTTGAGGCGCTCCGTTAGCCCATTTGTTTGCGGGTGGTACGCAGTGGTCTTACGGTGAGTCGTTCCACTAAGCATCAGGACGTGGTCTAAAATAGCTGCCGTAAATGCTTTTCCGCGGTCCGTGATCACGATAGTCGGAGCACCGTGGCGTAGCACAATATTTTCTATGAAAAATCTCGCCACTTCTGCTGCGGTGCTCTTTTGGGTAGCTTTTGTTTCGGCATACCTGGTTAGGTAGTCTGTTGCGACTATAACCCAGCGATTGCCTGCTGTAGAAGTAGGAAGGGGTCCCAAAATATCCATTCCTATCTGCTGAAATGGTGTACGTGGAACCTGAACTGGTTGCAGCTGACCGGCGGGTCTCTTGGAGGCGACTTGCGTCGCTGGCAATCGATGCAAGTGTGAACGTGGTGCTTGACGGCTGTTGTGAGTCGTGGCCAGTAGTATCCCTGCTGTACTCTTGCCAATGTGCGAGTGTAGCCTAAATGGCCAGACGTCGGCTCATAGTGACATGCTTGGAGCACTTCAGTTCGAAGAGGTGCAGGAATAACGAGCAAATAGGGAGCTCCGATGGACGAAAAGTTTCTCTTGTAGAGGACGCCATTGCGTAAGCAAAACGACGATAATGTCCTTGCAAAGACTCTAGGTGCCCTCGAAGAACGTCCGTCCACGTAATTAATCAAATCAAGCAATTCAGGGTCACTTCGTAGTTGTTGGGCAATCGTGGACGCGTCGAGAACCCCAAGGAAAGCCATATCATCGTCGTCAGAAAGAGAAGCTGACTGTACTGGTGATCGAGACAGGCAGTCGGCGTCCGTATGGCGCTTCCCAGACTTGTGTATGACCGTCATATCAAACTCTTGTAACTTCAGACTCCAGCGTGCTAATCGGCCGGTTGGATCTCTTAAATTAGTCAACCAACAGAGGGAATGATGGTCACTTATAACTTTGAAAGGGCGGCCATACAAGTACGGGCGAAATTTCATAACTTCCCAAACCACGGCGAGGCATTCTTTCTCAGTTGTTGAATAATTGGCCTCAGCGCGTGTTAGCGTCCTGCTTGCGTAGGCGATCACTCGTTCCGTGTCTTCTTGCCACTGCACAAGCACAGCTCCGAGGCCTACATTGCTTGCGTCAGTGTGAAGCATTGTTGGCGCTTGTTCGTCGAAGTGAGCAAGCACTGGGGGTGTTTGAAGACGTTGGCGGAGGTCATTAAACGCTGCTTGCTGTTCGTGATTCCACTCAAAGGTGGCGTCGTCTCTAGTGAGGCGAGTTAACGGCGACGCAATCCGTGCAAAGTCGGCGATGAACCGGCGATAGTAGGCGCATAGGCCCAGAAAGCGCCTGACAGCTTTCTTATCGGACGGTACTGGGAACTGTGCCACAGCCGCAAGTTTTTCGGGATCAGGTCGAACGCCGGTACAGCTGACGACATGACCAAGAAACAGCAGTTCTTCAAAACAAAAGTGCCATTTCTCTGGTTTTAATGTGAGTCCTGCGGAGCGTATGGCTCGTAAAACAACTTCTAGCCTCTTGAGATGCTCTTCAAAAGTTGGGGAAAACACTATGACGTCGTCTAGATAAACTAAACAGGTCTTCCATTTTAACCCTGAAAGTACAGTGTCCATGAGCCTCTGAAAAGTAGCGGGCGCTGAGCACAGACCAAAGGGTAGAACTTTAAATTCATATAAACCATCCGGCGTCAAAAAAGCGGTTTTTTCCCGATCTCTTGGGTCTACCTCGATCTGCCAATATCCACTTCTGAGGTCCATTGAAGAAAAGTAGCGAGCGTTTCGAAGCCTATCGAGGGAGTCATCAATACGTGGAAGCGGATACACATCTTTTTTAGTCACTTGATTCAGCTTCCTGTAATCCACGCAAAAACGCAGGGTACCGTCCTTTTTCTTAACTAATACTACAGGCGATGCCCACGGGCTCTGTGATGGCTGAATCACGTCATCTTCAAGCATTTTAGCGACTTGTTGCTGTATCACTTCCCGTTCCTTTGGAGCCACACGATAAGGATTCTGGTGTATAGGCCTTGCTGCGTCGTGGGTAATTATTCGATGCTTTGTTAGCGGCGTTCGACCGACCCGTGATGTCGATGAAAAGCAGTTCTGGAATTCAGCTAGCAGCTCAAGAAGTCTAGTTCGTTCGTCCCTTGACAACGTAGTACCAACGTCAAGATTAGGTAGTGATTCTTCTTGAGGTGCTTCGTCTAGGGCCGATAAACTGCCTTGGATTTCTGCAGTAGTGTCAAAGTAAGCGACGGCTGTACCCTTCGGGAGATGTCGGCGCTCAGTGCTGAAGTTAGTGAGCAGCAAGTTTGTGCGTCCAGCAGTGACAGTGACAAGACCTCGAGCAACTGAAATACCGTGGCTAAATATCAGTGAACTTATTTGGTCAGCAATGCCGTCGCCGTCAAACGGCTCATCCCCTGCCACCGAAACAAGCGTACACGATCGTGGCGGGATGACCACATCGTCATCCGTCAGACGCAAAGGCCCTGAACAAGACGTATGTCTCGGCTCTGAACAATCGACTAAAGTAGGGCTGTTGTTGCGAAATGTAATGACACTGTCAGGGATGTTGATCATGGCGCCATGTTCTCTCAAGAAATCCATTCCGATAATCAGGTCTTTACAACATGAAGCGAGAACGACGAACGTCGCCACGAAAGTAGAGCCACCGATGTCGAGCCTTGCTGTGCACATTCCGACAGGCATCAGTAATTGGCCGCCTGCCGTCCTTAAGTGAGGTCCCGTCCACGCTGTCTTTACTTTCTTGAGGCGTACGGCAAGGTCATCACTGATAATAGAGAAGTCAGCCCCGGTGTCGACTAAAGTTTTGACTTGCTGTCCATCCACAAGAACGGTAAGGCCTGGGGTCACGGTTTCGTCGGTATTACGTCTTGTCGGCTTTACAGCGTCCTGAGGTGGGAGTAATGGGGGCTTTTTTTCTTCGTCTTGACAGCCTGCAACCTTACCCCCTGAGGTCGCCGCCTTCAGTTTCCCCGGTGTGGGCTGGGTGACCTCGCTCGTCTGGTGTCGGCAAAAGTGCGGCGCTGCAACGAAGGTGACTGGGCAGGAGAAGGAGAGCGTGGTCGATGTCGGAAGACCGGCTCGTAATCAGTTGTAGCCTCGTTATCATTGTTACGGCGGCGGTCGAATGGGTGTCGAGGTACCGGAGGTCCTTGAGAACCGACATCTCCACGGCGGGATACGTACTCGTTGGCATGTCGAATGTCAAACCGTGGCCTGAGAGGGCGA